CCTGGATGCTAAAATAACTTGTGCAGAGCTGCAAGGTGGACTATACTATAAAACATCACTAGTCCTACCGAAGTGTAGACTGTGAGGTGAAAGTGGATTTCAGTGATTCGCCCATAGCTAAAGACATGATTATAAAGACAGGTCTGCTGCACACACACACTTAAGATAAGTTCCCAAAAGACTGAGGCTCTTAAAAATAAAGCTATACTTTTAGAGCAGTTGAATGTGTTTTCTACAATCTCTTTTGTTGTTTAAAAAAAATATTAGGCTATTTTATTATGAATGTTTATTGTTAAAAAGATTTTTTTAACTTTTAAGTCCACACATGTTATGCTTTGTGGTATTCTGCACTTTAAAGATTCATCTCGGTGGTCACTTTTTAAACACCACAATGTACAAAATAAATACAAATGCTTTGAACCAATTATTTTTTTACATTTCTTTAATATTTTGTTCTATTCAGCTACACAAGCATCCTCTTTAAACTACTAAGAATTGTACTATAAATGTGACTTTACCCGATTCTTATGCACACCTTAGTAATTTATTGATATGCCGCACAATGTCTTCCTTTTTGTGCTATAGAAATCGCCACCCTATCCAGGGTGCAGGCCGTGGGGATTGAACCGGGTACTTGCAATCTTCTCAGAGTACAAACGCATTGCTCTAACCACTAGGCTAAAATTTTTCAAATTATAGGCATCTAAAAGTATCTGTAAAGCTAAAGCAAAGTCTTTTATATTGCTAGTTTGTATGGTTAGTGGTGCTACCAAATTATTCTTCAATATACATCATTGTCTTAACTATAGGATTTCCCCCAAAACCTTAGCCTAGTGAGACCATCCTGATCTCGCGAGCTTTCAAGGTTTCACTCGCAGATCAGTCTGGAGTCTCTCCGTTAAAGAAAATTTGGAGCCGATCACCAAACGAACGTCTAATCAGCGTTGGCTTTGAGGCGGGTTGAGGTGTGACGCAACGAGAAGCGCAACAGTTCAGTCTAAAGAACATGGCGGCTTCAGCCGATGACACTAGCGTTAGCGTGGCTATCAAGCAAGTTTTATCGGAATTACAGAGTATTTCTTCACTGAAAGAAGAGCAAAACACTGCTCTGGAGGCTTTTCTCAGAGGAAAATATGTTTTTGCTCTTCTCCCGACTGGTTTTGGCAAGAGTTTGATCTTGTGGTTGTGTTTTCGTCGTCGCTCTGCGAGTACGTCATATGCTTCGTTGATCTGATTGGTTTATTTGGCCCGTCTATCACCAACATAGGCCAATCAGCTAACCAGTTTTTTCGCCCCTTCCCAAAATTACTTCAACAGAAGGTTTCCAGATGGATATGCGGAGCAAATCCATCTGGCAGAGTCAGGTTAGCAAAACCTACCTATGTTCCATATCCTGGATTTTTTGTCACAGAGCTTTAAAGCTCAATGGGATTAAGCAGAGGAGCATTGTTGTACTCTGTTTAGCACTCCTCTCATCTGATTTAGTTCTTCTTCCCTCTCACTCTCTCTCAGCCCGAATGGACTGCCCAGTCCTCTTCAATTATTTTCATATCTCTGCTTCTTTGGATTTCTTTTTCGAATTCTGGTCCTAAAAATAGTTTGATTCTTCTTAGCTTAATGATCTTATCAATAGTGAATGCTGCTTGAGGGAAAGCCTTGGTTAAAATTTGTGCATTCACTGAACAGAAACAGAATGGATATTTGAGTTCCCTCATTACTGTTCATGGTCAAAGCAAAAAAATAAAACAAATAAAAAAGTCCAGTTTCTGGTTACCCACTTCTTTTAGTGCATTTCCTGGCCTCAGCAACCTAGAAAAGCCCAGCCTAAGCTGCAGCTGTGGAAATGTTACATTGCATTCATCTGAGCCATCACAATCCATGGTCCAAGGCCCTCAGATCTTTACAGCTTGCCTTGCAAGAAATCAGCCTCAAGGACGGCATATTTATATAATGTAAGAAACCCTTGTCACAAGACAATCAATGTTTTCACTTCACCCGTCACTGGCCATAATGTTACTGTTGGGTGATGTACTACAAACAGGATGTTTTCTGCAGCTCATGCACACACTGGCCTTGGATATGCTTAACACAGTACATTTTCCAAAAACATCCCACCTTTCATATTTATCAAAAGGGCCCACTATGTTTTGCAATGGCATTAAATAATGCCACTGTGCAGATAGTCCTGATGCCAATGTAATTCAAAGATAACAGACCACTTTGTTTGTGGATACAGTCCACAATCCTTAAATTAAAATAGGAAATTTGAAAAATGTGGTGCAGTTAATGTTACAAAAAGACAAAAGAAATCCTTCTCGTTTCAGTATTTTGGGTAAACTGAGTCTTTAAGCTGACTTCCAGCCTCTGTTAAATGCACATTCCTATTCATGCTGCTCTCATTTTTCCCTGTCCCCTGTTTTTAGTTTTCCAACAACAAAAGGAGAAGATAATCTGTCCTCAGGCGGGCAGCTCTCCCATTCCTTCTTCTCTTTGTAGCTTTAGCCCATTCTTCTGATTCCTTTCAATCCATAATTATAACAACACTGCCAAGGCATCTGGACAAGATGAACGTTTTTGCACAACAAAAGCCCAACTGCACATTCTTTACATTAAGACATCTTTATGCCTTTATATTCCATATTGTATTCCAATAATTATATTACAAATATGCAAAGAAGAAGAATCAAAATACTAAACAGCATCATTTGTGAAAAAGTAAAATCTGCTGACAGAAAGAGGGCGCTGTTCTTGAAGCGCCGTCAGCAGTGCAGGTCAGCAGAGCTTCTAATGAGGCAGATGGAGAAAGCAGTGAGAGGGAAGCAGAATTTTACACTGCCAAGATGTTTGGTTTGCTCACTAAAGCAAAGCAGAAAGCCTCTGAGTAATAGGGCAACAACTATTAAGGGGAACGGGTTTACAGGAAACATGGTGGTCATTTGGAAAGACGCCACCACTGCCACTACCATAAGTGTGACTCATAGTCAACTGATGGTAAACTCAATGATCTGTTAGAAAACAAAAAAAAAGGCAGCTTAATTTGTCTTCCCATGACATTCTCTCTCTGTTCCTCCTTCCTTCCTCATTCTTTTTCTTGCTCATTTCTCCCACTTATCTGTAACAAATGTCCACTGAGCAGGACTTCATGAACATAACCCTTCCTCTATCTGTGTTTGGCTGTCAAACCACATTCCTCTACATCTTCCTCTTTCCTGCCTTTCTCAGGAAAGCCTATATTGAGATCTTTGCTTACACCACGCATGCTGTCTTTCACATTGAGATATATAAAGCAGCACCGGATCAAAGGGGATTGAATGAATAAACTTCAGAACAACACATTCATGAAGATGGGGTCCACCCCTTTAGAATGGGGGTCGGCTTCTTTTGTTTTTAATTTTCTTTTTTTGGAATGACTATGACCTTGAAGACTGATAATAATCACCAGCACATTAAAAAAAAAAGGAAAACCTACTTTAACCAAAAATGTTAAATACAGTGTAGTGGACGAAAGCAAAACATTTGTATAAAGCGATCATGGAGTTGTACGGCTTATCACTTTAGGAAACAAATTATTCTAAAGCTCACTCAGATTGCTGCTCAGTGGCGCAGTGGGTAGCACTGCTGCCTTGCAGAGAGAAGGTTCTGGGTTTGGTTCCTGGACCAGGGTGTCTTTTTAGGGGGAGTGGTACAATAGCCTTGTGGTTAGGGCATTGCGCTTGGAATCAAGAGGTTCTCAGTTCAATCCCCCACTCCCACAGACTGCCACTCTGGCTCCCTGAGCAAAGACCCTTAACCCCACACTGCTCCCTGGGCACCACACTATGGCAGCCCACTGCTCCCCAAAGGGATGGGTTAATTGCAGAGCGTAAATTTTATTGTTTTGTACATGTGACAATGTAATGACAATAAAGTTGTCATATTAGAGAGGAGTGTTTGTAAATAAAAGTGTTCACAGTTTGCCTCATAATCTTAAATTGGTTTAGATTTAGCATTATTATTTTAGTTTATTTATCTGTAATGACGCATTAGCTATTCTGATTTGAAGATGAATGTGGTGGGCTTTAACTGAGAAATGTTTAGACTTTATTATCAGAACAGATATCCAATTAATTGCCTAAATTTTTCTACCCAAACAAGGACTTTGGTGGAATTTGGTTCTACTTTGCTCCTCATACACAGACATTATCTCTGGCCTTTTAGGATTGTTCTTCTATGCTAAAAGTGGGGACCTCTGGCCAGGTTCTGATTTCCTGCCTTTAGGATGTTTCCTTCAATGATTCCTCTCTAATTTAGGGCCCACCGAAACTTCAACTCAGAACAGTTAATGCATCACTCCAAATAAAAACCACCATCATGCTTCACCGTATGGCTGTGGTTGTGTTATATTTTCTGATCCCAACATTTCAATTGTGGTCTTGAAAGACCAGACTTCTTCCATTTGGTTCTTCTATCACATAAAATCCCATGAATGACTGTAAAGTGTGTGATTGTAACAAGACAAAATGTAAAGAAGATCAAGAGGTGTAAAGCATCATAAACAGCCCCTGCAAAAAAAAATTTTTTTACAGGAGCGACAAAAGAGAGAGACACAGATCCCCTCACCATGTTTCCACTCTCCCACAGACAAACAGCATGCTCTTACACTTGGTCACAAACATTTGCCAGTTTAGGTCACATACAGGGACACAAAGCAATATGGCAAGGACACGACTCACCCACAGCATGGGTTACAAACACAATAAACTCATATCTACAAAATATAGTCGGATGGGGATCATTGTATCACATTTGAAAACCCTCCCACAAGGACCATGATTACAGATACACAGGCAGAAGCAACACCATCACATTCCTACAAAAACCTCACTTTGTCCTTCACATGGTCACAAGTCCAAACCTCATAGACTGGAACGATTTAAATCCAACACACAACTGTGTTTAAAGCAAAATCTCACATAAACATATCCAGACATGCATGCAAACTAATTTCCTCTGACACTCACCTTGCAACTCGGTGTCTCCTTTGTACCAGCGCAGCTTGGCAGGGGGCTTGCTGCCCGTGCTGGTGCACGTAAGGGTGACTTTTTCGCCCTCTCGCACTGGCTTTTCAAAGCCAGAGATCTGAGGCGTACTGGGCACACCTGGAGAGAGATAAAGCAGCATAAAATAGTTAGAGAGTAAACAGCAGGGAAAGGGGGAAAACTTTTCTGCTGCAGGGCTCGCCTTGTAGCTAGAAACAGCAATAACTGAGGGCTTGCGGCAAAGCCTCCGACAACTGCTGCATATGCTTGCAGAGCTGTGGTGAATCGATTTGGGTAACAGCAAAGATGGACAGAAAGCTGTGATACAGCTCCAGCTTTATTAAAGACAAGCTTAAATGTATTTGGATCAGACAGAGACCACCTGAGGAAAAATAATGATGCAGACCTGCAGTGGATATCGCCAAAAATGGTCCATGGCTGTGCACAGTAGCTTAAATGACCTTCCAAAGTATCATACCCACTGCCTGGACTTATTAGTGTTTGTCACGCCTGGTGCACTTGGAGATTTCTCTTTTTTGCTGACAAGAGACCAATTAAAGCTATATAGATAATGACTGTTTCCGTCACCGAGGGAAAACTTAAAAAAGACACTTTGGGTAAACCTGGATAAGAGGCTGGGGTGGCTGTTTGGGTAATTTGCATGCAATTCCAGGCATGATCTTAACAGAAACACCAAATATCTGTCAGGATTTCTCCATTTTCAATTATTCACCCTTCAGCTCTGTTTGGATACTCTGAACTTGTGAACTAATTAGGAAGCAAGTAGTAAGTAGAAGTAATTTAGGAAGCTGTTACTTATATAAAAGAAAGCTTCTTCAGCAGGGACAAACCGGGAAATTATTTAAACTTAATCTGTCCTTTAAATTTGTCCTAATCTATCCAAATTAAATATTACATTATATAAAAAAAAAACAGAAGTATTTATCTCCTTGTCTAAAAGTAAAGTCTCCTGATTCCAATTGGATTTGTTCTTTATAAAATGTAATTTACCATTAAATAGGCTGCATTTACTTCTGTGATGCAAGGTTGAACATATTCAGCTACCAAATAAACCATCATCAAGTGGTGACATTTGGTCAGGAGGCCTTGAGACAACTTTGCTTAAAGGCTCGGGGAACTTATTGTCTCTGTTAGCAAAATGTATTCATTGAAAAGCATATTTTTTCTCTCCAACTTCTGCTTAACTGACTTGTGCTTCAATAGCATAAGACGATGCACTGCTTTAAGGGCATAATGTCAGAGCAACGCCTTTCTATGGGGTTAATGTAGCATACGGTTATGTGAAAACATCAGACGTGCCTTTGAATATTCAGTATAAATAGGTAAATTATCAAATCCTTTTCCTGAACTGTTACATTTGGTTTGTGACAAACGTGTCCTCAGTTCTGAGGTTCATATTATTCATTTTATTACATTTGTCAAAAGAAAATTATTCGATTTATTCAGCAAGTCTTGTCCTTAGTTTACATTCTCTCTGGCCTACTTCTTTATCTTGGTGAGCAAAGGTTTCTCCTTATTAATGTCTCATGTAAACCTATGCAGTCTTTGCTCATTCCACAGGCGTGCATCTTCATATTAATATTGACAAGACCTGCTTTTATTTGCCATGATGAAATAAGGGATTTGAAGACTTTAAACATATTATGATAAATAACCAGAATTGCCCCTGTTGGTGGTTGTTAGTAATGTTGTGACCTCTTGTTTTGAAATATTTTTTTAGTGGAGTTCAAATTCATTCAAGTTCTTTTAACATCCCTTAACAAACCAATGTGTTATAGTCTGCCATGACACAGTATTTTCTTATCTATAGCCTCAATGTTTGCCCAAATGTTTAGGCAAACTGCTGATAAGCTTGCTGAAATACATGTCACCTCATTAGAAAAACAGACAGCTATTTAAAACATTTTTTCAGTGACACAGATAGTCATGAACTCAAAGTTAAAGGAGCGTTGCCTGCTTTTTAACCTGGGGTAATGCTGCTTTTAACAGAAAGATACAATCACAAGTAGCCTGGTACCTGTCTAATCAACATATCCAATGCTACTTTATAGAGCAATACTAAAAAATATATATTCTGAGCAATAAGAAAAACTACAGTTCTACTAAATGTATCTGATTTTCCTTCCATATGTGCAAGAAAACCAAATAAACAGATGCACATTAGAAAAATGATAACTGGAACAATTCAAATTTCGTGCCAGTGCAATGAAACTGAGGTATTTTTACTCAAGGATATTGTGTCATTATAAACTTGTTTTACTGATACCTTGAAGTAAAACAACCTGCAGTTAATACGCTGTTTGTTTTTTTGGAGTTTTTACAGAAACTAGAGGCTCTTGTTTGGACAGCAGGATGACAGGAAAAAGGGGCACAAGAGAGGGAGAGGAAATGCAGCAAAGGACCACAGGCTGGATTCAAACCCGGGTCAGTCGCATCAAGGCCTCCATTCATGGGTCATGTGTGCTAAATACTGCCATAAATTAAAGCTGCAAAAAAGCATAACAAAAACTACACCTTTCTTTAAAACGTATTGGTATACATTTCATTAGTAAAACTTTGCAGAAAATATTTGACCTGTCAGGCCTGATTATAAACATTTGGAGCTGTACAAACACATACTACGGGTATTTTACTTTAAATAAGTCCTGAGATTAATTCCAATTTTACTGGTAATGTGTCATGACTTTGTTAAATCAGGATGATTCAGTCCAGAATCTTATAACAGTTTGCAAATTCTACTTTACATAAAAAATAACATGGAGATTTTGCTGTGATCATAATAAGAGTACATCCTCTTTTTTATACTTGAAGTAACAGCCGTGCACAAACCCCTGCAATTCAGTCCTCAGACAAATCTGAAATACTAACCACATTTTTTAAAAAGATTTGAACACATGACAGAAGCTTAAAGAAGCTCCCAAAAGGATATGATAAAAAAAAAGAAAATCCTTCATTAACTTTACACTCCTGCAATACTTGTGGCACTCATATTAAGTAGTCTAATATTTGCAGAGAAGCCCCCGACTGGCAGACGGCGGTCCAGTGAGATGTTCACAGGAACGCAATTAATTCTATGACAGAAAATAATATTGTCATCTCTTTAAAATGCCATTTCTACAATTCAAATTAATCTAATAAACAGTATGTGTTCATACTCTGAGTTGGTTTGAATTATCAAATAAATTATATTTTGCAGAGGTGAGGATTTACGGCGCCTTCCTAATGACCCCAGAACTTTTGAACAGATTTAGCAAATTAAAACATTGACTGTTGGAAGAAACTGAGAACATTTAAAATCCTCTTAGGTGTGTGTGTTTGGGTGTGCGTGTGCATTTGTATTTCATCCCCTCCCCATCCCCACCTCCAGGCCTATTCATTTGTTCCCCTCCATTTTTTAAATGCAGAGTAACATGCATCTTCGATTCAACTTAGTTCTTCCTTGTAAGACTGAGGCCTTCAATGATGGGCCAGAGGTCAAAAAAAAAAAAACAGAGGCCAACATAAAACCCAAACTCCTGCCAATCCAAAATCTCATGAGGAATTTTTCTTTCCCATGATTGTTTTGTTTTTTTCCTAAATGCAGACACACAGGAAACATTTTTTTTCCTAATTACTATCTTAACTTGAAGCGAAAACAACAATGGCAAAGAGAATAATCCAAGCATCCTGTTTTTGGAATACCTTTTAGTAGGCCCTTTCATCACTGCCATTACAGTTAAAGGAATGAAGAGAAAACTTTCTACACTCCATCTGGAGTCATTGTAGGCAGCACTTTCTCCAAGTGCTGGCAGAGTTTACTGTCATTCGGCTTTTTAAATAATGAACATCCGTCTGCCATCTACTTGCAAACTGCTATCTTGTGCATTAAGGCAGGAAAGGGAGAGAGCGATGGATATATATATAGAAAGAAAAAGAAATGTAGTTAAGAGATTACGGTAAGATAGGGTTGGAAAGAGAGGAAGAGGTTGACTGATGTGAGAGTGAAGCAAAAAGGAATGCCAAGATGGATGGATGGATGGATGGATGGATGGATGGATGGATGGATGGATGGATGGATGGATGGATGGATGGATGGATGGATGGATGGATGGATGGATTGATTTATGGATGGACGGATGGATCTTTTTGACTTTCACATTAAAAATATGACAGCAAATCAGTTATTAAAAATGAAAACACTCTTAAACTTAAATAGTAATTTCTTATATTAAAGCTGCTTTCTTCTATTTTTGCCAAAACTGAAGAGTCATAGTTAATTTCCACCACACTCTATAAAATAATTTTATATATTTGCTATTTATCATTTATGACATCACAAAGTTTTTTAGAGTTCCTGTCCAACCAGATAAAAATACTGGATGGTTTATGAGATGACTTTTAGTTTCTGTCATTCAAAGGCTGATCTCTTTTTTGTGCTTGAACTAGTCAATGTTTATGGTAAAATCCATAAGGGTTTTTACTCCCAATTGCTCATAGTTTTCTATAATATTATACTTAAACAGTGAGTCGTATTGCTTTCTGGAGAACTTTAAGAGTTTTTTCTACCATACAAATTTGTAAAATATTTTGAATTTATTTTTGTGGACTTTTTAAGCAGCATGTTAGAAAATGATTGGTTCTTAATTTGGTATGTGGATCTATAAAAAACAATAAAGATTACATATTGAAAAAAAGAAAGTTTCATTTTAGGATCAACAAGGATATTCCCAAAAAGCTATTAGCTAAGTATACGGAAAGTAACTAAAGACTAATTGATCTCTCTCTATTTCCTGTCAGCTATGCGCTACATTATTTCCTATTTTCAAAACATGCTGCACAATCTGCTGCCATTGTAAGGTTCAGAAAAATGTATAAATTAGCAGCAATGTTACAAAGCTCTTAATTTCTTTGTAGTTTTTAAGTAAGTTATATGTAAAGCTTTCTAGAAATGTTAGGAAACTTTACGTTTAAATTTAAGACCTTCATAATTCAAGACAATAATACACTAAATAATAACCATGGTTAGTAAATTTCTTTAGAAACTAATGTATAGCTTAATGTGTGTTAGAGGTGTTGGGATCTCTAGTGTGACTTTTGTGTTTTTCTAGGTCACCTACTTT